ATGAGGCCAGTAGTACCCTGACACCAAAACCAGACACAGATATTACAAGGAAAAAAATTACAGACCAGTATCTCTAATGAATATAGATTTTAAAAAATGCTCTACAAAAGTATCCGCAAACCAAATCCAGCAACAGATAAAAAGAATTTTACACCATGGCCAAGTGAGATTTATCCAGGAATGCAAAGTTAACATCTGAAAATCAATTAATATAATACACCATATTAATATAAGGCCAAACCCCGTATTCCCGTCTTAGTATATCCAGAAAAAGCATCTGACACAATTCAGTGCCCTTTCATGATAAAAACACTCTAAAAATCAGGAATAGGAGGGACCCTTCCTCAGCCCAATAACGGGCATCTGCAAAAACCCCACTGCTAACATCGTGCTCGATTTGAGGTGAAAGACTGAAAACTTTCCCCAAAGGTCAGGGACAAGTAAGGATGTCCACTCTTGCCACTTCTATTCAATACTGGACGCAGGTACTAGCCAGATGAGCAGGCAAGAAAATGAACTAAAGGTCATCCAGAGTGGAAAGGAAAAAGTACACCATCCCCATTCACAGATGACGTAACCTTGTACATAGAAAACCCTAAGTTTTCATCCACTAAAAAACTATGAGAACTGATAAATGAGTTCTGCAAGGTAGCAGGACATAAGGTCAATATATACAAAGCAAACGCGTTTCTATACATTGTGTGACAAGCAGAATCATGGCCGCCCAGAGATGCTCCTAATCCCCAGAACCTGTGAATACATGACCTCAGATGGAGCAAGGGGCTATGCAGGTGTGATTACGTCAGGGCCATGTGCCGGGAGGTGGTCCTGCTCGTCCAGGAGAGCCCAAGGTATTCACAAGGGTTCATAGAGCTGGAAGGGGGAGGAGGAGAGTCAGTCAGAGTCACAGAAGGCACAACGAGGGAAGCAAAGCTCAGAGAGACGTGATTTCTGGCGTTGAAAATGGAGAAAGGGGCCCGGAGCCAAGGAACACAGGTGCCTCTAGAAGCCAGAAAGGGCGATTAGGTGAATTTTCGCCTAGAACCCTGCTGACATTCTGATTTTAGCTCAGTGAGACCCATTTCAGACTTCTGACCTCGAAAACTGTAAGGTAATAAATGTGTTAAGCCACTGAGTTTGTAGTACTTTACTATAGCAAAAATAGGAAACACACAAGTTGCAATGATTTAACAAAATTTCATTTGCAATACCATCAACAGCATACAATACATAGGAATAAATCTAATAAAATAAAGAATCTACTCTGAAAATTACAAACATTGTTAAAAGACATTAAAGAAAACCTACATGAGTGAATGGACATTCCATTTTCATGGATCAGAAGACTTAAAATTGTTAAAACAGGAACCCCCAAACTGATCTACAGATTCAGTGCAATCCTCATCAAAATTCCTGCTGGCTTCTTTGCAGAAACTGATAAGCTGATTCCAGAATTCACATGGACATTCGAGGGGGTCCACTGAATAGCTGAAATCACCTTGACAAAGAAAAACAAAGTTGGCACCGGCACAGAGATAAACATATCCTTGGTAAACCTGAGAGTTCAAGACTAAACTCTTCTATTTGTGGTCATATGACTGTCAGATGCCAAGGCAATTCAGTGAAGAAAGAACAGCCTCTTCCACAAATGGTTCTGGGACAACTGGATGTCCACATGTAGGAGAAAGAAGTTAGACCTCCTACCTCACACCACATACAAAATTACCTCCAAATGGATCAAAGACCTACATATGAGAGATGAAACTATAAAACTACTAGAAGGAAACATAAGAGTGTATCTTCATGACCCTGAATTAGGCAGTGGTTTCTGAGATAATACCAAAAGCACAAGCCGTGGAAGATTTATAAATTGGAGATCAAAAAAATGAAAACTTTTTGTGCTTCAAAAGACATCATTAAGGAAGTGAAGACAAACCACAAAATGGGGAAAAATATTTGGAAATCATAAATCCGATAAAGGACTTATGCCTAGAATATATAAAGACCCCATAACCCAATAAAAAGGCTTAACATGGGCAAAAGCCTAAACAGACATTTCTGCAAAAAAGATACACAAATGGCCAACAAGCACATGAAAAGACATTTCGCCTCATTAGCCATCAGGGAAATGCAAATCAAAATCAGGAAGAGAAACCACTTCACAGGCACTCTCAAGATGGTTAAAATCAAAAAGACACTTTCTACAGGATGTGGAGAAGTCAGAGCCCTCAGGCACTGGTGGTGGGAATGCAGGATGGCACAGCTGCTTTGGGAAACAGCCTGGTGGTTCCTCCACAGGTTCGACGCAGTCACCGCGCGACCCGGTGTCCCACTCCGAGGTCACAGCCAAGAGAGCAGAAAACACGTGTCCACGTAAAAACCTGTTACAGGAACGTTCAGAGCAGCATTCTTCACAATAGTAAAAAGCTGGAAAGAGCCTAAAGTCTCATCAACTGATGAGTGGATAAGGTGTCACACATCCATAAAATGGAACGTTGCTCAGTGATTAAAACAAAGTACTGCCATATGCTGCAACGTGAATGAACCCTGAAAAGCATTGTGCTAAGTGAAGGAGGCCCCTCACGGAACACCATACATCGTATGACTCCATGTATATGAAATGTCCAGAACAGGCAAACCTCTGGAGGCAGAAGCGCATCTGTGGTTGCCAGGGCTGGGGCGGGGCTGGGGCAGGGGAGGGAAGGGCGGGCATGTTAATGGGCACGGGTCTGGGGGGAGGTGATAACTATGTCCTAAAATTGATTGTGATGACGGCTGCACAACTCTGAATGTGCTAAAACCATTGAATTGCACATTTTAAATCATATGCTATTTAACTGAACCCAATAAACCCATTATTTACAGTAACACAAGGTCCCCAAACACGTTCTATATTGTCTTTAACATGCACACATGTAAACAGTAAGTAGTAGCAGTGTACTTACACATTCCACCTGTGTGATACCACATCTTCTGGCACCTTATTTTCCACTCACAATCATCTTTCAGATTAGTCCATTAATGAACTCACACTGAATGGAGAAGAACTTTAATTGCTCAATCCTAAAATTCACTGAGGGAAGAGCCTTCCCTGGAGTCTGTGTACTTTGCCAGCTGTCCCATCTCACTGCTCCCCTCCAGAACCAGACTTCTCAAGTTTTCACACAGACAACTTCTACCTCCTTACTCCCCCAAGTTCTACTCACCCAGCGTTGAAAACGCTCACCAAGGTCACCATCAACCTCCATGTGACCACAAACACCACATTTCAACTTAAGACGCACATTTAAAACGACATCTCTGAACTGGGATGTTTTACAGCTGATGGCATCTAGTCATTCTAAACGTCAGCATTTCTGTCTCAGCAGCACCTAAAATAACAGCTTCTTACAACAGATGGCCTCTTACGTTCGGTGCAACATGACACGGCAGACAGGTTTGTCACACCTGAGCCTTCAGCTACCTTGGCCCCAAGTGACCTCGACCTTCCAGACAGCCTTCCTTCTCCTGGCTCCCAGGAACATCCTCCCCTAGTTTTTCTCCCAGCGTGTGCCCACCCCCAAGTACCCTCTGCTGGTTGAACGATGGGCGTTCACACTTCCTGTGGTGATCACTGCTGTCTGCGCTCTGTGGGCAATTACCCCGGCCCCCCGGGGCTGCTGTCGGACGATCACAGCTCGTGCCCAGAACTCTACTCTGCAGTCCCAACTCGTCCTGCCCACAGAGTCCCCATTTCTACCTGGATGTGCGTCTGCCCACCAGGCACTTCCTGGCAACATGTCTAAGATGAAGCTCCGGTTTCTCCCCTAACCTCAACCTGGATCTCCAGCCAGAGCCTGGTTATCACCCCTGGTTTCTTCTCGGCTCCCACCACTTCCTACTCAGCGCGAGATACACAAGACAAAGTATGTCCACCGCCCCCATCCCCCCGGTCCAGACCACTGCCGTCTTGAGGCTACACCCGGCCCCCCACTCAGTACAATTCCCTGTGGCCAGACAGGGTCTCCCTGTAAGACCGGCAGGACCGTGTGAGTCTCCTGCAGTCTGACTCAAGGCCTCATGAGGTCCACATGACACGGATGGAATGAGAAATACATATTTTGGTCCATCCCCAAAGCACCCCAGCAACCGCCTGGCTGGAGCTCCTAACCCTTGTCATTTCCTACGTGGTAAAAGCCATTTGATAGAAGCACTTTTGTTGTCATATTGGGGTTTCACCTCGGTTCCAGGAACAGCTCTGCAGGAATACAGGTGAAGAGTGTCTTTTGTTATTCGTAATAAGCCCCTTTCAACCACTCCGGAGTATATGTTAAAGAGGTGAATTTTGGGAACCCGTAAGGATGGGGCCTGGTTGCCAGGGGGAACAAACCATGTGATTAGAGGGTCAGAACCCCTGCCCCTGACCTTGGGAGAGGCAGGGCTAACCTAATCACCGACCACCCGTGATTTAACCATCACGCCTGCACATGGAGCCCCAGTGAGGGCTCTGAGAGTTTCCAGGCCAGGGGACACCACACCCTCCCAAGCTCCAGGGCAGCAGCTCCTGTGCCTGGACTCCTCATTTGTATCCTGTGATACAGCCTTTAATGTAAGTCAACCTGCCCTGGGTTCTCTGAGCCACTGCAGCAAGTTACCGAAGTTGAGGGGGGTTGTGGGAGCCTCTGGTTTGCAGCCAAGTTGGACAGAAGTGCAGGGGACCTGGGGACCCACTAGGACTGTGTCTGGGCCCCTCCCTGGGGGTCTGCTGACTCCTGGAAGTTTGCGTTGGAGCTGAGTTCATTGTAGGACACCCAGTCTGTGATCACAGACAGGAGAATCGGCTGGTGTGGAAAACGCACACAGCTGCTGGCAGGCGTGCGGTGCAGAGGACGCTTTCCTCTGGGCCTCGGGCCTGGCCTGGCAGTTCCCACCTCCTCTCCCACCATGGAGCCCACCTTGAGAGGGTCACGTCCTGTCACCCCTCCTCGACTCTAGCCCACAGCCTTCCTCCAGCTCCTCACCCCAACTGGAGTCCACCCACCGCGCTGGGTGGGGACCGTCTGGTTTGTCCAGGGTGATCCTCAGGGCCGTCCAGCCGCTCGCCAGGCTCTCCAGGAGGCTGTGTGGGAGGAGTGAGGGCGTGAGAGAGTTTCATCGGACGCCGGCAAGGCTTTCATTGCAGTGCTCATCTTGGAAGGTCCCAGAAGGGAAAACCTGGACAAGGCGGGAGATCCAACACAAGGAGACACTTCTGCTCCATCTCAGGTAGGAAACAGGAAGACCTGTGGGTGTGCCCCACCACCAGGGCAACGGGCCAGGGGGGCACCTCCAGGGAGTGGCCAGTGGTAGCGCTGGGGGTGAGCAGGGCTGCTCCCTCCGAGGGGCCGTTACCTCCAGCCCCTCCAGGTATAAAGTCCGACCCAAGCTTCCCGGACTCCAGAGACCACACAGGCAGCAACTGACAACTGAACCCCCGAAAATCCACACCCACAACAACTCTTCCGACCTGGTCTACATCTACGGAAAACCAGATGGAAGAGCCTTTAAGAGGAGCCCAGAAAAACCCGAGTTGTGATATTAAAACTGAACAGAGGGAGGACGTGTAGCTCAGAGGTAGCGCGCTTGCTTAGCGTGCACGAGGTCCTGGGTGCAGTCCCAGTGCCCCATCAGAGCAAACCTACTTACCTCCCCACCTGAAAAAAATTAAGAAGTGTTAGAAAAAAGACCGAATTGAGACTACTGTTTAGATTTAACTCCGTTTTATTAAAATCTAAAACCACAGAAACAAGAACTGAATGTACAAACAAGAGAATGGGGAAACAGTAGGCAGGAGAACACGTGACCACAGCAAAGGCGACAAAGAGGCCTGGCTCCAAGACCCTCCTTCCCAACTCACCACCACCTGACCCGAAGCCGACCCCTCCACCAGGAGGGAGCCACGGCCGCAGGGCCGTGAGGACAGGCTGGGGCCCCCCACAGCACCCGTGTGCTCTACTCCCGGGAGCCAGAGAACCGGCAGGACACGGAACTCAGGCCACGAGAACAGCAGTTTTCGTCCCCTGCTGTGCTCAGACACCTAGGGCTGACCGCGACCCAAGGGGGGAGGTGAGCCAACCTCTGCAGGAACAGCAGCGTGGGGAGGCAGGCCCCTCAGACGGAGGGCGCAGGAAGTGAGCCTGGAGACAAACCCCGGGGCTGTGGGTGAAGCTGGAGCCCAGACTCGCGGACGCTCAGAACTGCTGCAGGATCACCTTCCGCTTCAGGTCGTGGCTGAACCTGTTCATCCTGAACAGCTCGCTGTCGTAAAAGGCAGACAGGTTGTGTACGTTGATCTGACGAGCCTGCAACAGGGGCTGGCGTGAGCATGGGCTGCCAGGAGCGCATCCGCGCCACGGGGGAGGGGGAAGCGGCGCCAGGTCGAGGGCGGGCCTGGAGCTGGACACAGCGCTCCGAGCACGGCCGGCGGACTCGGACATGCTCCTTGGCTGCCCTGAGCACCTCAGCTCTGCAGGACGAACAACAACAGGGCTGACTTCCCTGGCTGCTGTCGAGATTAAAGGTGTACATGACAGTGCTCGGTCGGCCATCAGCACCGGGCAGGCGGCTCTCAGCCAGGCCGGTCCACTAACCACGGGGCCGAACGCTCCGCTGAGGGCAGAGCTCCGCGCTGAAGCACGTGCTGAGCACGCAGAGGTCCTGGGCCAACCCCCAGTGCCTCCAGCGAGCAAACAAGCAAATACACAAATAAAGAAACCTAATCACCTCAACCAAAAAACCCAAAACGGAAGACTGCTCGGCCCTACAATGACTGACAGCCCAACAGCAAGCCCTGCCGCGGCCGTGCCTACCTTGTCCACCAGGTCCTTCTCCGGCACCTCGATGGTGTCCTGCTGGGCCCCGAAGCGGTTGCGTTGATACGTCACCTGCTCTGCCACCAGCTGCTTCAGGATGAAGAGCAGCAGCTCGTTGTTGTCTCGGCGGAACGATAGGTAGCGGGCGAATGTCTGTGCGGAGAAGAGCGGAGGTCAGCTGCCGTGCCAGCGTGAGGCCGGGGCCGCGCGCCCCCGCGCACCCACACGCGCCCACCTTCCGCATGCTGCGCATGACGCTGAACTTCTGCGTGTCGATGAAGCTCTCCAGCATCACGCGGATGGCCATGTTAACGTCGTCCTCCAGCACGTAGTCCCGCAGGTGCATGCGCGCGTGCGCCTCCGCCATGCGGATCATGGACTCGATGTGCCGCACGGTGATGGGGATGCTGCCTGTCGCCTGGAGAGGGACAGCGTCAGGTCTCCCCGCGCAGAGCGGCAGGGAGCGGGGGCGGGGCGCTGCTGGCCAGCACCCAGAGGCTCATCTAACCATCCTGGGGAAGCAGTGCTCACCTGAGCCGCCAGGTGGACCCACACTTCACTCCCCCCCAGAGTGGAAAGGCGCCCAGTGACGCCCCTGCACGCTTGCACCCTGAGTGATGTGTTTGTTACCACAAGGTACTATGAACTGCACGGTGCAGTGTAGCACAGTGAGGAAATAAAGCTGTGCTCCTGTGAAAACCAAGCCAAATGCTCTGAAAAGACTTGACCACGTTAAAAGTAGGAGAGAGGGAAGGAGGAATCACTGTCACGACTCGGTGGGTGAGCCCGGAGTCTAAAGAATTCTGCACTCCAACTGCTAGCAAACCGCCTTTAAATTCTCAGTTCAGCCCACGTGTTCATTTGGGTGAGATTTACGCAAAGTCAAGGGGGAACTGGATCAGTGGCCCAACAGTGAGGACCTCGGCCCTCTACTGAGACAGGTGAGTGTACGTGCATTTAAGTTCCAGTCAAGGTGAGTAGGTATCACTTTTTAAGTCCTTCCTGCTCTAGGCCTCCGGACTCACTGACCGCACAGACCAGAAGGCTCTGCAGTGCGCGCCTCTGCCTGCCCACCCCGCCCTCCCGGCCCCCGCCGGCTCTCACCATGGACTCCTTTCTCAGGTCGCTGTACATCTTGGCCACCTTGTCCTGGTCCATCTGGTTGAGCTTGGGGCGGACCTTCTCCTTGGCGTAGGTGATGTACTTCTTCAGGACCTCCTGCGGCAGGGGCTCCACGCCGTACGTGTTGGGCATGGTGGGCTCCGGGGCACCACCCTGCCCGTCCTCCTTGTTGCTGGGGTGGTGTCGGACGTGGCTGCCGACCACAAACCGGGCCAGCATCTCATCCTAAGACGAGACGGAGAGGGAAGGAGCGGGTGAGCCCCATGAGCTAGCTTGGAGTAAGTCGGCTGACAGAAGAAATGAGAGCCATGTGCGCTCGAGAATGTTCCCTAACCACAAGTGTCTTCCACCTGCTGCGTCAGGAGCTCCAGGGCCCAGCAGGAAGTGGGGCGCACCTCCTGGTGAAGGCAGGGGCCAGGACAGTGTCTGAATAACCAGAGAGAGAAGAGAGCGGGGTGGGGGATGGAGGCCCAGGGACACGCCTCCAGCTAAGACTGTCCGAGCACCCCAGTCCGTTCTAGGAAAAGAGGAGTTGAAGGCCCTCGCGGGGGCAGGGGTGTAGACAGAGGGGGAGCAGGAGGAGAGCGGCTCAGAGATGGCGCAGGAGCGGTGGACTCTGCAAGCAGGCTTGTGAGGAGTCGCTGACTTCCGAGCGGAGGAGGCCGAATCAGCCATGAGAGTGACCGGGGGATAGGGCAAGAGGCTGCAAGGCGTCGGTTGCAGGGAAAAAGCTGGGACGCAGTTGTAGCAGACAGACACGCAGGCAGTGAAGAGAGGTGGACTTGGGCCTGGTGGCCGCGTGTGGACTATGCTGGGTGGGCAGCTGGTGCGGGGGCAGATGAAGAGAAATAGAGAACTTCCAGACCAAGAACAAGAGTGGAAAACACAGGGCCCCCATGGCATGTGGCACAACACAGCCCTGGGCCACACGCGAGGTCCCCAGACTTCCTGCAGAGACTGGGACGTGGGCTGGTACCTGGACTGGGTCCACCGTGTCCCTCACCACACACAGGATGTCGAAGCGAGAAACGATGGGCTCCGTGAGATCCACGTTTTCTGAGAAGGTGAGCGAGGGGTCGTAGCGGCCTCCTGCAACACAGGCATCTCCCCGTCAGGGCCGGTCCCAGACCCTCTCCTTCACTGCACAGAGCTCTTCCCAGCCCACGTCGCTCCAGCGACAGGAGGGGAACCCGGAGGGTGGACACAGCACCCGGCGGTGCCCTGTGACTGCTTCACTCTCCCCACCAGGAAAAGCCAGCAACAAGGTGGGCAAGGGAGCCAGATCTCTGAGCGCTTACTGTCTGAGAGCAACTACCAGATCTGCCCAATGTAACGCACGAGGTTCTCCTGTCTTCTGAGAAAACAGCCAAGGCTGGGTCTGAGCACAGGCTCAATGAAGCCCAGGTGTCCCAAGTCCCACCTCCCCCCACGCCCCGGGAGCGCGTTCTGTCGCCCAAGTCCCTCCTCAGGCTCTGTGACAGGGGAGGGTGCTGCGGGCACCGGATTCCCAAAGGTGGGGGTGCCTCTCGGTCCCGTCCCCACCGTGTACCTATGGGGTTGGCAGCGGCAATGACGGTGCAGCGAGCCTGCAGGGAGGTGACGATGCCGGCCTTCGAGATGGAGATGCTCTGCTGCTCCATGGCCTCGTGGATGCTAGTTCTGTCCTGGTCGTTCATCTGCGAGGGAGGCAGAGACAGGACTCCTGCCCCGTCTGCTCCCCACACCCCGAACCCCTCACCTCCGGGCCCAGGGACATACCTTGTCAAATTCATCGATGAGACACACCCCTCGGTCAGCCAGCACCAGGGCCCCAGCTTCCAGGGTCCACTCCCTGCTGACCGGGTGCCGCTGGACATAGGCCGTGAGGCCCACAGCTGAGGCACCCTGGCCGGTGGTGAAGATGGCTCTGCTGGACACTTTCTCGATGTACTTGAGGAACTGAGACTTGGCCGTGCCGGGGTCCCCACACAGGAGCACGTTGATGTCGCCACGCACCTTGTGCTTGCCACCTGGAGCGGCAGGGCCAAGGGTGGAGACGGGAGGTGAGGGCTGCAGGACGAGCGGGGTCGTCTCGTTTCCCTGCCTGCCAACTACGTACGGCAAAGTGACATCCCTCCTAGAAGGTGAGGGACACCCAAGGCCAGCAGCCCCGTCTGAGCACAGAGCCCAGAGAAACGGCGCACGAGGAGGCGCGTGTGAAGATGCTCTTTTAACGTGAACACTGGGGCCATGCGCGCTGTCCAATGGGAAAGACAGCTGAGTGCAGCACGGGACAAGGGCCAGGACATGGGTCAGTGACCTCAAGGCATAACTCGCTCTGTGGGCGCCAATGTGAAACGACGCCAAAGACGTGCTGGTGAGGGAAGGCTGCTGGCAGGACCACGCTTGCAGACAGCAACGCACACAGCACAGGGACCTCTACCGAATACGTTGTGATGAGCCGCAGTGGGAAAGAAACTGAAAACATATATACATACACGCACACCTGTAACCGAACTGCTCTGCTGTACTGACCTGACACTAATGTTTTAAATCGACTACACTTCAATAAAAAGCAAGAATTAAAAATACATAAATTCTGTATCAGCACACGTGTAAGCCACGTGAGGCCCCACGAAGGTCTGCTGTGCGTGCCACACACCGACCAGGGGACCTGCAGGGCGGGACCCTGATGAGAAGGCGAGGTGGATGGAGGCTGCAGCCTCTCTGTGACCACTGCCACCTGAGGAAGAGGACGTGATGTGATGCACACTCGCCAGTCATCTCTGCGTTAACCCACAAGCGGCGTCCCAGCCGTGGGTGCTCGCCCTCCAGTGACGGAGCCGCACGCACTCTGCCTGCCGCCCGTGGCACGTCCTCCTCCCCGCACTCCCAGGACCTGAGGAAGCAGCCCCCTGCTCACCTGGGTTCTTGGGCTCCCCTCCGAACAGAGCCAGTGCCAGCCCTCTCTTGATGTCTTCGTGGCCGTAGATGGACGGGGCGATGCTGGCAAAGATCTGCAGGGGTAGGGGTGGCAATGGGACCAGGACCTGATGCACACGCCACCCCTGCTCTGGCCCAGAGCGCCCACCACGGCCGCAGGATTCCACCGCCAGAACCTCACACCTGGACTTTCGGCTGCGTGATTCTCTGGCTCTTCCCAAGACTCACAGAACCCTGGCCTGACCCCTTCACTTCATCCTGTCCCAGGGCCACCCACGGCTGCAGACCAGGAGCAGGAGACGAGACCCGCCCAGCATGGGGGGTGGGGGGGCTGTGTGGCCAGCCTGGCCCATGCTCCCAAATGGAAAAGCACTCATGGGGAGGGGTGTGATGTTGACGTGAGGCGGGTCCACCAGGAAGCCAGGTCGTTCACACTGAAGCTCCCCCGCTTGACAGAGTCGCACACAAATGCCACGAGAACTTAAAGGTAAAAGCAGACGCAGCAGAGCCGTCCTGCCGGGAGGAGACAGTTCCCCTTCCTCTGCTCCACCTCCCAGCTCCTGCGCTGTGCCCACATTCCCCTCCTCACGGGTCAGAGGCGGCGGCTGGGACAGCACCAGCCCCGGGGCGTCAGGCTGCAGGTGGGGAGGCCGGTCCCACTGTCCCACCCGCACACCCTCCGGGCGTCCTGGGAGCTGGAGGCTGGGAGGCCTGGAATGGGGTCGGCAGTCTGTCCGTATGTGACCACTCCGCATCACTGCCAGGGGCCAGTGTGACCAGCAGGTCACTCTGGAGACAGGATCCGTGGCACCACTGGCCCTGCCAGAAGTGCCTTGGGCCACTGTGTTGTCGTGAGTCAGGAGCGGCGGCCAATTTTCACAGCGTGTCTCCCTTTGCTGGTTCTTTCCTTGCCCCGAAATCGACTGCAAACCCAGCCCCAGGGGAGGCAGCACGGCACTTCGTGGCTAATGACAGCCCAGGCCTGGGCGGCTAGAGGCTGACGTCTCTAGTACTACTGCCCTGGGGCTGGGGGGAAGGGCCGAGACCAGGCCCGGGGCATGAGATGTGCAGGACGGCCTGCAGGACTCACACCAGGAGCAGGGAAGCTCCCGTCCGCGGCGCAGGACCATGTGAACAGGCTCACTGGCAGAAACGGACAAGGGGCAGCAGCTGGCTGGTAACCGCGGCTGAAACCTCGGTGGCGGTTAAGTCCGTCATTCACACTGCCACTCAAGCTCCCGGCGGGCGGTGACCCCTGCGTTATTTTGAAAGCTGGGAAGCAAAGGGAAGCCGGCATCATCCTGCTTTTCCTGCAGGAGCTCTGCCCGGACGTCAAACAGCTAAAGCAGGAGAGCTTCTCTGCACATAAGTGTCCCGGCAAACAAACGGAGGAGGGGCTGGAAGTGGAAGATGCTCCTCCTGCAACCCTGTGAGTGCAAGGACGGGGCCAGGCATCACCAGCGGCTGTGACGTCACAGAGACAAGCGGGGTAGCTTGCTGCGGCCCCCACCCAAGAGGAAAGTCAGCCCCGAGTCTGATCACGCCTTGGAATGCGGATTCACAGAGAACAGGGGACAGAGGAGTGTGTTCCACGGGGACACAACTGGCAACACTGAGACTGGAGGTCGTGACGCGGCAACGACCTGGTTCCTCCCACAAAAAACTGCGGGAAAAGAAAGGACAGAGAGGAGACATAAAGATGAGAGGCGTGTGAGTCGTCACAGCAGGCGGGCCCGGCCTGGCCGCTGCCGGGGAAACACGGACACCAGGCCACCCTGAAACTGCGGAGCCACAGCTGTTGCATAAGAGCTCCAGAAACACAGACGCAGTTACGGGGAAACTCGCTGGGTCTGTTTCACGATAACAGGGCAGGAGGCCCAGCCCAGAGACAGACTGGCCACCCCCTGGATGCCTGGAGAAGCAGGCAAAGGACACGCGAGGTCGCAGCACCACCCCCGCACGTCTCTATTTCTGCAGGAAAAGCTTTCAAAGTGGGCCAGGCTCTGAGCTGGGCTCCCCCGGAACTCACGATAACCCAACGCTCACAAACGTGCTCTCCACATCGTGGGGACCGCACAGAGAGGGAGCAGGGACAGCAGAGCCTAGCTCTGCCACGTAGGAGCCATGTGACGTGGGCATCTCACTTAATCCTCTGCACCTCAGGTTGTCCACCAAAAAAGTGGGCACAGCTGACCCACTACAGGATTACTGCCGTGATCTGGGATGGCGCGGTGCCAAGCAGACGCTCCGTGCTCAGAACACACCCCGATGCGCTCATCAAACCCACATCTGTCGCGGGGGGTGGCAGTGGCCGTGGATCTCATCCTCCTGTACGTTGCGCGGGTGTCCCGGGACTGCCCACTGCTGGCTCCTCGGCACCCAGGCCGTTTCTGAGCGGCTCTGGTACAGGGCACCTTGCAGGATGAGGTAATGTCTCCCCCAGGACCGAGGGCAGCAGCTTGCTTCTGCTCGCTCTGCCCGGCAGGCTGCCCGGCTTGGCTCCTCCCTGTAAAGCAGCCGCGGGTTGGTGGCCTCCCTGGAGGGGCTGGATGGCAAGGTGGCCGCCATGCCAATCACGCTGCTCGTGGCACCCGGGCTGACCCGTTTACTTTGAGAACTGACAGGGCAACGTGGCGGCTGGTAGCAAGGGTGACGTCAAAGCCAGACCTGCCAGGAGCAACGCCTGTTCCACACGCTTATTCCATTTACCCCATTACCACCTGGTTCCCCCATGATGGAGGGGAGACAACACCTGCTGCCAGAGGCAGGGCGGGACCTGACCCCGGCTCCCCATACTCCTAGTTCTTGTGCGCACCAGACGGCGCCCAGGTGGAGTCTAACACGGGGCCCCAGAGCTGTTCACCCTCCCGCTGGCCCTCTGTGCTTCCCCCCGTGCACAGTCCCGGTGCCGCCACCCAACTTCTGCATTAACCGCTGCGGACGCATCCCCATCTCGTTCTCACGCCTGCGGGCGGTCCATCTGATCACACTGAGGACACCACCAAAACCCAAACCCAAGTCCAGCCTCAGACTGCACCAGCCTCCTGTTCTTCAAAACCTAAGCCTCAGACATGCATCCCTGGAATGTTTCACCCCGACAGCAGCCAGGGCCCACGGAATCACACGCCGCGGGCAGCAAGCCGAGTCGCGCAGGCTGGAGAGACTAGGGCCCTGAATGGCGGGCAGACGGGAGGGCGCCCAACTGAAAGGGCTGCTGCCACTCAGCCCGTCAGCTGCTGCCACAGACCTGGGACTGACCAGCACCCAGGCTTCTGTGTGAAACTGCTTGATCGCTGAAGAGTAATAACGCACTCAAACGCTAAAAAAGAGAAAAAGCAGAACCACCTGCCAACCAGGGAAAACCCGTCAGCAGGGGGCGTGGGGCCTGCTGGCCACCAACCTGCAAACCTCCGGCTCAAACAAGTCTGGTCATTTGGGGACCTTGCCTGTCGTTCCTTTAATTTGCTCCAATGTTGCAGAGCGAGCCGTCTACGCCTCCATCCAAGCTACTGGTGACAACAGCCACCCTAACCGTGGACTCGCGATGAGCCCCTCCCCACAGGGCTCAGAGAAGCATCATGGGGGGCTGTCACCCTCTCCAACCCAGGCGTCACCGAGGTCGAACAGCCACAACTGCGACCCGGCTAGTCAGACAGGTGGGCAGCGGGAGAAAGGCTCTGGAGGCGAAGACAGCAGAGAGGCAGGGCGCCTGCGTCAGCACGAGGCACACACGGGGCTGCCGTGCGCAGGGTGCAGGCATGTGGCGTCCATGACACTCTCCTCACTCCGAGGGGAGACTGGTGGCTGAATTCACGGCAGAGGGAAAGACAGCGCTGGGAGAGCGTTCTAGAAGCACGTGCCCACCCACCTGCACATCAGGGGCGTGTGCGGACGGGCTGACACTTGCACACGGGCACAGCGCGTCCACCCACCCTGAGAAGCTGGCCCACACGCTCCGCTGAGATTCCGAAAGCTTGTTTACCACGTTAGCACTGGTTTTCCTCTGGGAGGGGTGAGGGAAATCTTACTGGGAACCCCGGTAAAGAAGGAGACCCGCGGGGCCCCCCGGAGCTTGAGGGCGGCCCAGGTGGGCTCCGAGGCCTGAGCGAGCCGGCGGGACTGCAGGTCCTATCCTCCCGAGGCTGGGGACACCTGCCTCCCCCGTGGGTCCCCAATCTCGGTGGACTCAGAAAGATGGCCCAATAGGGGTGCGGGGGTGCAGGGGTCCAGGCCCACTCGCTGAACAAGCCAGGTGAGTCGTGAGCTCTGGGGCAGCAGGGCAGAGCCCAGGGCAACAGCCGTGCTGTTCTGTGTGAATCACTAAACAGGAAGCGGAGAGCTGAGGGGGGAGGAGGACCGGGGCGCAGGAAGAGGAGGAAGACGGAGGACCGGGGGCCTGACCTGGGCGCCCAGGGGTGCGGGAAGCCCATGACAAGAACTGAGCGCTCCACAGCTGACCCTCGAACGTGGGTTTGAACTGCACGGGTCCCCTTATACACGGATTGTCAACAGTGTGGGGGTCAGTGCCCCTCACCCCCTGCGCTGCTCAAGGGTCGCCTGTATTTGTCACCTGTATTTCTACAACATAAACCCCCCTCCCCAACCCTCAGTAAAAGTGCCTACAGTTAAAAGCAAAACCAAACCCAGCAATGCCAAGGCAGCATTCTTCCTGGAGGAAGGACTGTCCGTCGGGGCCTGAGGCCTGGGGACACCCACCAGATGAGCTGCCCCCAGCCATTTCCATTCAAGCCGGAGCTCGGCACCACCGGGTGAGTCCTGATCACTCCCGTTCTCGTCACTGGGGACACAGGCTCAGAGAGGCCAACCCCAAGTGGATTCATGCTCTTCCCCGAAGCACAGCCCATCAGCACAAGTGCACAGAGCTGACGCAGGAAGTTAAAAGGGGGCAAGGCTTCCAAGGCCCGAGAATCAAGACGGAGATTCCAGAGCAGCCTGGACAGTGAGCCCAGGTACCCACTTCTCGCCGCGAGCCCCGCCCGGCCTTCCACCTGCCTTCTCCCCGATCTGCTGGTCCTTGGAGAGGCTGGTGATCATCTTCACGTCCTCATCGGTCAGCTCCCCCACGGCAACCTTGTTGTCCTTCTTGGCCACATGGTTGGCTAGGATGACAGTGGCAAAGACAGGGAAGCCGTTGGCGGTATTGAGAGCCCCGTCATAGTTGTTGTGGTAGATGCCAGTCAGCTCCTGCGGGCACAACACTGAAGGGTCAGGAGGACCACCTGCGGCCAGGAGCATGAGCCAGCCCACCTCCTCACTGGCATCACCCACCCTCTCCTCTGGGCCCCCAGGCTACAGACTGGGAGACCAGTAACTCAGCAGAACCGCAGCATAGCTGCCCCCAACCCCAGTGTCCCATCCATCCTGGCCGTCCACCCCAGGGAGAAGCTCTCAGTCCCGAGGACTGGACAGCTGACCTCAACTCCCCCGCTACCACGGCCACTCTCATCGGCTGCAGTGTTCACACCAACTTCCGCAGCAACGTGGCTCACCCACCCCCCAGCAACTTACTATCTCGTCTCCTGGCTTGCAGCTGTCCACCAGATCTGCGAGGAGGATGGCGTCCTTGGAGCGGGGCAGCCGGCCGGCCGCCACTTTGCCAGGACTCTCCTGAATTCGGATGCGCTGGTAGTTCTGGTAAATGGTCTGCACGGGACAAACACATGGTCATAGGGGCCAGTCCCTGTGACAGGGCAGGGGAGGACCCTGGACAGAGGCCTGAGCTCAGATGAAGTCCAGCCGTACGGCCGTCCCTCCCTAAGGCAAGGCGCACTGGAATTTTAAACAGGTCAGTCTCCGGTTGCGGGCTGCCCAAGCGCACACCCGCAGTCTGCTCCTGGCACGGCGGCTCCAGCGGGCCACTTCTCAGAACTGCAGAGCAGTGAGGCGCAGCACAGCAGCCATGGCCGCAGGGCAGTAGCAAGGTCTGGTGGCCACCCCAGGCGCTGTGACAAGCCCCTTTCCACAGTTGCAGCCGCCCACCTACAAAGGTGTATGTACGTGCCCAAGGTCGTGAGGCCCAGAGGCCCTCGGCGGGGCCTCCTAAAAACAGCAATGCAGGGTCTCAGGTGGTTATAGAGCAGGGCCCCCAGCGAAAGGCACAGAGAAGCAGGTACCAGGCCTGGATGGGACTGTAGGCGCCCTGTGTGAGTGACAGGCTGGAAAGCAGGTGCCCCTCCCAGGGGGCAGCCAGGTGAAATGTGGGCCGAATTCTGCTAGATCTTCCCATTAAAAGAAAAAAAGTTGTAAACTTTGATGTGTACCTAAAATCGTGTGGTTTTTCAAAATTGGCTTGGATTCATGAAAGCACCACGTGGGCCAAACTAAACAGGCTGACCAGACCGGTCTGGCTCGCCCCAGCGTGCGGCCAAGGCACACGGCACCTTGCCTTCTCCCGCGGCCACGGTGCTGGCCCTCGCACAGCCCCTGCGGAGGGCTGGCCCCTGCACTCACCTCTTCCATGTTGACCTCAAAGGGGCCAGTGGACTGGCACTCGGGGCAGGAGCCCGGCTTCACCTCCTGGCTCTGGGACTGGCAGAACGGCCCCAGCACGAAGCTGCACTTGCTGCAGCTGTACTTGACCATGCTGAGCTGGGGCAGGACACCCGTGCAGCTGGTCACCACCCCGCTGGTGCGGATCAGCTGGTTCAGATGCAGCTGCCTGCGGAGATGAGGGCGCCGTTGGAGGCCTGGGGTGGGCGGACGCAGGACCCACACCCTCCAGAGGGGTCAGGGCTACATGTGAGGGCCCCAAAACCTGGGGTCCAGCTTCCACCAGACCAGGCCACTCAATGGTGAGTGCTGTCCCTGGTCGCAGCCCGCCTGCCCGCCCGCCCACCCACACCACGTAGCTCTTCCGACTGATGCCTGAGCACCCAGGCCCTCAGCTCACCTCAGTGAGCGCAGCTCTTCCACCAGAGGCAGGTGGGAGATGCGCACATGGATGTGGCTGGCGATGCGGTCGTACTTGGGGTACATGGCCAGCACCACCTCCAGCGCGGCCTCGTCGAAGATCTGCAGCAGCTCTGCCGGCGCCTCAGGCAAGAAGTAGGCCAGGACGTGCTCCCTGGCAGCCAGGTCCTCGTAGTTCACCACCAGGCTCTCGCGGTTCTCTGGGTGCAGGCGGGCAAGAGGGAGACTCAGCACAGGGCTCAGCTGGGGCCGGAGGGGAGGGGACCCGCCCCTGCCCCTGACTCTGAGCCAGAGGCCCAGCTCTCACTTCTAAGCCTACTGGCCGTTAGCTACATGACTCAGGTAAGTGACATGTCCTGGGCCTCAACTTCTGCATCCAGGAATGGGGCTGTCACTCGGCCAAGTCACGGGAGGGGTTAAGTGGAACACTACCCGTGGGCACCTACTACAAACTCAGGATGCCCACGAGGGCCAGGAGGGGAACCTATGAATAAACTGTCCAATGCCAGACAAGAAGAAGTGGAGAGGACAGTGGGGGGGGCCAAGACCCACATGCCATTGATTCCTCACACACAGAAGTGTGCTGCCACTTTCTGATCAAAGTAGTAATCCAGATTTTTACATAAAGCCTGCCAAATTTTAAGCCTGTCTAAAACCACTTCCGTGGTCCAGGTGTGGCCCCTGGGCTGGGCACTCGACACCGTCTGGAAGATGAACAACTCGGGCTCCAGGTCTTGCTCCCCCCACCAATGCTAGGCAAGTAGCTCACGTCCCCTGCATGTCGTGGGGTTAGGGGTCAAAGTGCAGTCTGGAGGCCAGAACCTGCAGCCTCCACAGGGGCCTGGAGAGCGGGGAGGCGGGGAATGGAGCTGGGCCCTCAGAGATGGGTGGGTGGTCTGGGGGCGGGGCCGATGGTGTTGAGTGGGTGGGGCCGATGGTGGGGCGGAGTCCAGGCTGGGGGTGAGAGGCGGCGTTGAGGGCAGCAGCAGGGCTCAGGGCAGCGGGGCGCACCTTTGCACATGTCGCTGATGCGCTCCTTGAAGACGTTGTGGCCGTGGCCGTCCACGTGGGTGCGCAGGAAGTTCTTAAACCGGTGGTGGATCTCCAGGCGCGGGCCCGCCAGGCTCACCCACTCGCGCACCGAGTGGCCCTTCAGGTCCTCCAGGTTCTCGATGCTCTCGATCATCTCCTCGTCCTCGTCGCCATCCTCCGTGGCCCGCTCCACCTGGCGCCGCTTGCGACTGGGCCGCTCCTCGTCCTCCTCGTCGCTGTCTGGGGACCGCGGAC